ACCACTGTCTGGGTAGGCAGAGACATTGCGGAGGCTCGAAGAATGCAACAAATCAGCATCAGGTGGGCAAATGGACAGGTTTCTGCTGGGCATGGTAGGGGTTTCTGAAAATGAGAGTGCCCTGAAAAGATCTATGGGTATGTAGGGGATTGTCAAGCGGAGTCCCTGTTAGGGCAGGGACTGTCCTCAGGCACCACCACCTCAAGCTACTCCGCGGCCCCATCTAGTCATAACTTTCCAGCAATTCAGGGTCCATTTGGGGATCCTGACAAGTAAGGATAATCGTAACTTCATTGTACTAGGGGGAGTCTACACTGACCTATGTTGGCCTTCCCTGTTCATAGAAATCCCTCTCTGAAACTCGCTTGCTGCCGCGCCGCCCACGATTGTCAGCATGATCGCAACCAGCACCACACCAGCCTGGGATCAGCTTGTCCGACTGAGGGGTTTAACTTACTGGTTCTTGGTAGGTTCTTGGTAGGAAATCATGGAATATAGTATATATTCCCTTACTCCCTACTAAGAACCTGTAAGTTAAGGGCAGACAGCTGGCTCTGCCCCGGATTCTCAAATAAATGCTGAAAATCTTTATTTTGCGCGAGAAGCTTTGTCTCTCAAAGATGTGTTACGTAACGCTGACAGGTCAACTGCGTGACTCAAAAACAGCTAACTAATCGAGGTTTCGCCCATCTCTGGTATCAAGCTTGTGAGAGTCAGACGTTCGCAATGAAAGACGACAGACAACACACATAGCATTCAATCCGGTACTTGTTTACCCACTGCTGCAGCTTCCAATGGCTAGAAGCATTGAGTTTCGAGTGCCTTACGTAGCAGCCGATGTTTCACATTGATTCTGGATCATGCTCTCGAACCATCCCAGAAACTTTGCAGTTGTTTGACAACTGACAGCACTACATGTCTCGTCCTGGTCTGCAAAAACTTGTCAGGCTACAAGCACTTTGAGGGCCAGAACACAGCGAGCCCCGGCTAACTCATCTTTTTTGTGGGGCGTAGGCTCGTGTCTTACCCTAAGGCTTGAATGTAGGTACTACTTATACACAATAGGTCCCAATATAGGTATTCTTCATAGAATCAGAGCCAGGGTAAGTCTCTGGCATAGAATGTGCAGATTGCCACGAGCCGCCCAGCGGTGGTTGTCGGGACATCGTCGCCTTAGAGCTTTTAGGGCTTTGCGAAAATGCGGATTGTAGTATTTCGGGATCTATATGGGGGTTTCCTAAAATTAGGGGTACCATTTTGGGGGTCCCCATAATAAGGACTATAGTATAGTATTTTGGGGTCTATATTGGGGTCTCCCTGTTTTGTGAAACTACTATATTGGGATCCCCCTATCAAAAAAAAGTATTTCCATGCAAGGCATTCTACTTTGGATGCACGTTGGCCCCCGGGGCCCTCCCTGGACGGGCTTGGCTTGCTGCCCTACAGCGGATTACAACAAAGTGTATGCTACACACGTCCATGGGAAGAAGCCGTAATGATCCCCTTCGCGCTGTAGGCAAATGGGCTTCGTTCTTGCTCCGTGGTGGTGGAATTACAGGATTGCAGGAATCTCTGCTTCTTCTTCTATAGATCATGCCCATTCCTTACGAGGTGAACCGAGCTGCGCTCCCGCCCCGTGCATGAACATGGCCGTTCTCTCTCTGGCTCTCTCTCGCTCTCCCTCTCTCCCTCTGTCTCATGCTACTTTCTCTACTTCCCAGTACATGTTTAAGTGTTTTACGTACCCATATGGGTGAAGACTTGCTGCTGACGCGTGGGCCTGAACCCAAACCCAATACACTTCACATCGACTAAAATGACAACCTAACAACAGGATGCTTTGCATGTTCTTGACAAACTCTCATATCCGGACTTTTGGGGTTTGTGAGCAGGCGTCGGCCAAGATTTGTGTATGGTTCACATGCTCGCCGGTTTCCCCCGGGTTGCAGGATTACAGAAGCCTAACACGTCTAAAGAAAGGGCCCTCAACCCACAGGTTAAACTGCTAAGCACAACTTGGTCGTAAATCAGCTTGCCTTGTGGCCAGTACTATAGTGTTAAAAGCCCTGCATGAACTCAACTATAGTACCATTATTTCCAAGGTTCAGGGTAGTTGAGGTCATGGAGGAATCTAAATATCCACCGTAGGAACCAAGCGAACCTGGTACAGTGTGCAAGCCAGGGTAGACAAGCGCATAAGATCTGATGCAGACAACCACACAGCAGCTCCGACTTTGAAGTATTCAGCCCCTTTTGCTTCTTGGCCAGCTGTTGCTCAGCCGGTCATCTCGGGGCTCGGGACCAGCGCGCGTTTCTTGCAATGCTCAATAGGCACGGGAAAAGCCTTCCAACCTTGACCAAAGTCACAGCTACAGTCAACCAAGCAACAAGTCTTCCAAGGCGCCACGCACTCGTCGCAACCGCGTGGCATCGTAAGAGCCATGTGACCTCTGCATGACCTTTCCTCGCTGCTACACCCAGGGGAGTTTCTGACGTCCGCCCTGGACGCTTGTCGGCACCGGCCTTCAGCAAGAGTCGCACAGTCTCAACATGACCCCTCGAGGCCGCAACATATACGGGCGTGTCTATCGAACTACCTCGGTGGACGTTGGCCCGACACTCTAGCAACAGGCCAACAACTTCGACGTGACCTTTGAGCGATGCCACATACAGCGGGGTCTCTTTTGCAAAGCCCCAGCTGCTGTTCTCAGCACCAGCCTGCAGTAAGAGCCGTGCAATGTCAACATGCCCCATCGAGCATGCTGCGTACAAAGGACTTCCCATTGAAGCCTCTTCATAGATGTCAGCTCCAGCACTCATCAAAATGTTCACCTTGGTTCTGAGGACTTGAGGCTAACGATCGTACCAGCCCCATGCAAATGTGTTCTCGTCATGTTCAGGCTTAGATACATGGGCTGCTTGCTTTTCTGACTCACATCTGTCGGTTGGCATGCTCCAAAATGCAAGACGCTTCATGAGCGACCGGTATTGAGTAGGGGATGAGTAGCAAGCTGACCCTAGATTGGCTCTGACGTTCCTGAGGAGATTCTGATATGACGAGTGGTTCTCAAATTCGTCGATGGTCAAGCGGACTCGAAACGCAGTGTCGCAATTCTGCCTAAGCCCTGAACCTAGTCCGTGTGGAGATCAGCACAGCTACCCCGATATGGGTTGCCCAAAAGAAAGAAGCATGCACGTTGAGTGTCCTACAACTGGCTTTGGAGTCCTGATCGAGAATAATTTCTCAGATTGCGGGAAGGCTGTAAAAGCTCGTATCATGATAGCAACGGTGACAATGCCAATGAGCATCTAACCCTGTGGCCTAGCTGCGTAGCTTGAAAATTTGTCATGACCCCAAAGCAAGAAATCTTTACAGACTTCAGACCCAAGGCTTGAACTTCGTCTTTTGGAAAGGCCCTCGAAAAAGATTCAGCGTTAGAGGTCTGAACACTAGGCCTAAGCCACCAAACCCTCAAGGTACAAAGCCACGAGTCCCAATGCCTTAGCCCTAAACATTCTAACCGACCGGAGCCTAAAAGCTAAACCCTAACCAAAACATCATGGTGAACCCTATGTTAACTGTAAAAACCCTCTGAGCCCTTTTGTAACTAGCCTAGGCGCAACCTCCAGGTGGCCCCGCTGCGCTGCGATAGAAAGCGGCGTGGCAATTGCAATTTTGCGTCTGGGAGTCGTGCAGTGGAATTTGAGGTGGTTGTCCTGATTTGGGAGCTTATAAAACTAGGGGTAAGGATGGGTAAGGTTTAGGGTCGATGTAAAGGGATTATTGAGAGGGCATGGTTGGGCTCCCGAGCTACATGTTAACTTCAAGAACTGGACCCTGTCAGTTCCTTTCTGAACTTTCTATGAGGGGATCATGACGAGCTCTATTTTCACATGTGCTGCGTCGTATTCAAGGAGCTCGAGTGTTGACCATACACGGACTGAATTTCAATTTTAAGTATGCGTCCAAATTCACTTTGTTTTGCTGGAGGCAATAAGTAAATGCTGATACACGTAGCTTCGTTAAATGTACTTCTAAATGCAGCGTGGGTTCATATAGCGTCTATCTGCTACTAGAGGACTGATGATAAGGAAATCCCTCCAAAAGATCTACATAACCCACAATGTTCACTGAGAAGAACAAGCCTTCAAGAAGTTGTGGCCACTAACCCTAAGGCTCCATGTAGGTACTGTTTATAAGGTTTAGGGCCCAATGTAGGTATTGTTTATAGACTTGGAGCCATAGGGAAACTGGGCAGCTCAGCTTCTTCATAGTGCAAGTAGTTTTCGTCGGCCCCCGCTTCCAACAGCCTGCGCACAAGTTCCGCGCAACCTGCTGCGGAGGCCTGGTAGAGGCAGCGACCTTTCAAAGGGTCCATGTAGGCATGAGCATATAGTCTATGCTTGGGGCCTAAAGGCGTTCCCATGTAACTACTTCAGAATTTACATATATACGTACTATAGAGCTACATGGACCCCTTGGCCTGTGCCCGGAGCTCCGTAGTCCAACAGGAGGTCAAGGAGCTTGAGATCCAAGGAAGCTGCTTCAAGCACTTCTTCAGTCACAGCTGCACCAGCTTCAAGCAGGAGGCGTGTTTTCTCAATATCTCCAACTTCAACTGCTGCCAAAAGAGGTGTGTCAAAGCCGGGAAGGCCAAAGATTGTCCTTTCAACCAGGTTGGGGTCTTGAGGTCGTCGCAGCATCTCCTCAACGTCAGATGCGCAGCCCCCTCGCGCCGCAGCAATCAGTGCGTTGACTTGCTCAGCATCTGCTGGGCCGAAGGGTAGCAGAACCAGCTGTAGATCTGCGGGCGACAGCAACCTGACGAGGGGTCCAACCTCTATTTGCACTAGTGCACCAGCACGCCTCTGCATCCGACCCCTTGACATGGATGCCCCCTACTTTGAGTCCTGAGATAACACGCGAGCAGGTTTCGGTCCCACAAGTCCTTTCATCATCGTCCAGGCTCCTGCCATCGCAAATGAGCGTCTGCCGAAAACGGGAGAAGCCGTGCAAGCCTTGCAGGTGCCGCTTCCTTGGCTGACATTGCTCCTAAACCTCAATGCATGATTACAGTCAATCCTGTGATGTATGACGCTATGCTAACAGCCGTAGGTTCCAGGGATTTTCGAATGATGAGATCCTAACACGAGTGACTTCCCCCTAACCAAGGAACCAGACGAGACAAGCCCGACAAGGAGTCACAGTGTTTGTGGGCGGCTAGTGCGGACAGCCGTGCTTGCTCACAACTTGCAGATGATGTGAGCCGTCCAAACCTCTTGGACATAAGAAAGAAGCTAGTTCTCAAGGACTCCCAAAAAGGACATCGCGTACCAAAAAAGACCACGCTTCAGGGCACGAACATCTGCAAGCCCCTCGATAGGCCTCGCATAGTCTGGAAGCTGTTTTAGAACTTCCATTCATGCGATGTTGACCTGAACGACAACCCTTTCCCCGACCCCCAAACGCCATGCCTGTAGTATCAGAATGCGCATTCTAGTCTAATGTCGGCCCAGGGTGGAGGGCTGGAAGTACAGGCCCGGGTTTAGAAGGCACACGTTGCTCTGCACCCATACCCTGCGGTTCTCTGAAGACTCCTCAGCCTAGTAGTCAGCAGTCTATGCCTAAGTTTGCTCAGGGGAACCCTCAGTTGATTCTCTCGTCAGCTTTGGCAAAGCCCTATATAAGCAAACCCTTAGCCTGCATGATGCCCTTCAACCCCCCCCTGTATTCTTGAGAATTGCTGCCCCTATACAAGGGTCCCAAGTAACTCAGGAATAAAAAGGCAGCCTCTCTGGTGTGAACTATATTTGAAGACTCATTCTTTGAAGAAACCGAGGACCACCAACCAATGAAAAGCAAAATTTTCTGGGAGAGCCAGCCATCCAAACCCTCAACCCCAAACCCCAAGCCTCAAGACCTATGAGCACCAGACTCCTCTTTGCACAGTTCCCAAACCTTCAAACATGATACTTCTATTATGTGGTCCCTGCATACGCATTCGCACTATCCATTTCACCATTGGGAATGTAGAAGCTCGAGCCATTGTAAAAAGTGATCCTTTGACAAAACATGCTGATGTAGATGGGCGATGGTGTACCCCCTTACCCCGTTGAAATTACAAAAGCCCATACATTACCCAGACATTCCCAAATAGTAGTTCATAGATAGGGGGACCCAACATGGTACAAAAACTACATTCATGGTAATTTAGAATAGTTTCAATTCCCAAGTTAAGGCCATTCTGGTACTATTCCCTATATAAACCACCATCTAGGGTGAGGTCGAGTGAGGTCGCTTTAACTTGTCCAGTATTACATTATAATCCTTATTGCGGCATCCCTAGCCTTAAGATCGTAGCTCTGTTTTTTGGAACACTAATCCCCATCGACGAATCTAGAGTCCCAGGTGTTCATTTCATTTTCCATGTTCTTTTCCATTTCCCATCATTGGTGGATAATATCCCTTAACCCTAAACCCCAAATAGTAGCTTCCATTTTCTTGTCCATTCCCCTATATACCTTATGTACCCCCACGTAACTTTTTGTGACCCTATATGGCCCTATATACCTCCATACAACGCTATATAGCCCTTTACAACTATCTCTATATATATATATATACATACATAACACTACATGAAACCAAAATTCAGGCCCAGGAGGCAAAGCTGCCAATGCTTCCCCAGCAACCGTCCACACGCGTAGCATGTTTTGGAGACCGAAGGAAGGCTACTCCCCTACTTACTGAGGTTAGTGAGGAATAAGGGAATAGATTATGCAGGTATTTGATTCGCTTATTTCCTAGTAAGCACCAGTCAGCCAAGGGCCCAAGTAGCCAAACAGAATGCAATCTGGGCCCAAGCGTGAGCCTAGATACTTGTCTTGGGCCAGAATTACTAGTGCTTGCTCTTTGGGTACTTGGACGCGGGGGCTATGGTTGTGGCGCGTCGGAATTGGATGTGGTTCCTCATTGTGATATTCTGAAAACAGAATTGTTGTGCTCCTTGTTGAGTTTTTGTATTATACACATTTCAACAGCTATGACAGCGCGCGCCCAGCAATGCTAGGCGCAGCAGGCTCCCATACACTATGGGCACTACTGACTCACTACCGGCCTGACTATGAGTATGCCTAGGGCTCCCAGTTACCTGAAGAGTAGGTCACTGTGCTATGTAACTATAGGGTATATAGTACCCAGTTCCCATTACTTTGGTAAGTGGAGCCCTAAGTTACAACATCGCTCACGCATCTCCAACTCATTTTTTGTCCTCGAAGTGTTCCTGGAAGTTTAGGGAGTCTAGGTTTTACTTTTTTCTCACACACACACTGCTGTTCTCAGAGCCAACAGGCTGCGGCTGACAGCAGCGGGCAGGGCTAATGTAGACCCATGACTGATAAGCCCCCTCCTTTTAAGGGCCTTTATATTAGGATCCCTATTAGAATCCCCATGAAGGGAGGGGGTTAATTTATCATGGGTCTGGGTTACTGGAGACTCTGAATTTGAGGGGCAGGGCAGGGCAAGGTTCCAAAGGGAGGAGTTGGGAGTGTCCCAATGAGGATTAAGTACAAGCCAAGAAAGGCAGGCTGCTTTGGTACATATCTATTTCCTCTGACCTCTCTTTCTGCTGTGGATGGGGCCTCATATTGCAGCTCTGGGATGCCGCAGACTACCGTCGCTTGTTGCGGCTGTTGCGAGAAGAATTGAAGTAGGTTCAATAGAGCAATAGACCCGGGTGGTCTTCCTCAAAAACCGTGCGGATAGCAAATCAAAAAGGAGGCCTCGAAATGGAGGTACTCTCTGTGGCCCTGGGGTTTCACGGGGAGTATATGGGGACTGTTGACTTCCCGTGTCAGGGGGCTGCATGAGCTTAACCTTCGGAAGCTCCACATGCATGCCCCTTGTCAACCCGGGTCCTGCCATGTCTAAGCGCCCTGCCGTACCCAACCGTTGTGGCAGTCGTGAAGAACCACCAGAAGGCATGAAGAATCGATCTGGCATTCGGGGATCTCTTCGGGTTTTGGGCTTCGGGTTCAGCATGCGATTCTCAAGAGACAAGTATCGAGGCCTATGCAGGCACGGTGAAGCGTGCGAGAACAATGACTCGAATGATACTTGTGCCCTGTGGAAGCCTTGGTTTCCTTGTACAAAGTGTGGAATACCACGTAGGTGATCTCTCACGCTGAAGCAGAGTTTTCCTTTCATTTCTCATGTCTCTTCTTCGGCTTCAACAATGTTGGGGCATATCATCTGGCTACATCCCATGGAGGAAGGAGTCTCATAGGAAACTCTAGATCTCCAGCTTGGGGGATTGAGCATCTTGCATCCAACGCCTTCAATTGGTTGCATTAAGCCCTTGAAGCGCGTGGGATGAATTCTGAATGCTTGGTGTTGCGGATTGTTGGGCCCCTTGTCATCTCAACCTTACCTTACCTACTTCAACCCCGAAATCACGCAACAAAAACGAAAGCTCTCCAACCCCAAGACTTTCACTTGCAATCTCGACGTCCAACCTCAACCTCCCAACCGCAGCTCATATAGTATATTATAAAATATTGTAGGGTATCATAGTATATTATGGTATCTTATAATTGATTTGGTATTTAATAGCAGATTATATATTATAGTATATTATGCAAAACTGAACAACAGCAGTGCGCCTAAAAGGGGTGACCTCCATATCGTATCCGTTCTTCGTCGGTCTGAGCAGGGAAGTGCATGCTCCCTCATGCATATCCAGGGTACTGTAGGATCCTGAACAATCATCATTAGGTTTGGGACTGTGGGGAACGTCATAAGGGCCATGACGGGATGATTTTCCTGAAGCGGATTCTGTCCTGCAAGAACTGTACTGAGTGATTGGTAAAGGAGTGTTTGGACAATTGTTGTTGGTCCCGATTTGGTGGGGACATGTGGAGAGGGTAGCCTGATTAGTGGTCTTCACCGAAACATGTTTCAAGCATCGGGTTCCCGCCCCTCCCCCGAGTAATTAGCTGGGATATCGGGCTTCAGCTAGAGTCTGCTTGGATGGCCCAGCTCAAAAACGCTAATTTGGCAGCATAGTCCTCTAGATTCTGTGTGCTTGCGCCACAAGATCCAGACTGAGAAATTGCTCATCCCTGCATGGCGTACAGCCACATTAGCAGAAAAGATGCCACCTGGGATGCCCTCTCTCAAGGGAGGAACCACGGCTGCGTATTTGCAAGCTGTTTCTGACGTGTGCTTCAACAACGACAACATGATGGGGTAAGCCAAGGCCTACCCTGTCTAAAGCCATGGAGGATAAAGCGAAACTCAACCAACGATATTAAAAAAAGGGAAATTCAGGGCATGCTCTAAAGGATACTCACAGTGCTGCTAGAAAACTCGCTATTAAAGAAATGCACCATGAACGTCGTATGAAACCCCCAACCTTTCTTTGGCACAGCTGATCAGACTTTTCATGCGGCGTGGGGCCTGATGTACACACCGTAGGGATACCTGAGCAGGCGCTGTGGAGCGTTGAGGCGGAGGCTTACAGCTACAGCATCCCCAAGCCATCTTTCATCATTAGAACCCAGAACGCAGAAACTTCTAGCCGCAGACTTGTAGTTTTGTGACGGTCTTGGGATGTCTGCGACAAGGTAGTTAGCAACATTCCGGTACCTGCATGTCTGCAGAGAAGGAAAGTCAACATTTTCTGGGTGTAGTCGCTGACACCTGCCATGATGAATGAAGATGGGCGTATTCTGAATCCTGTGTTCCTCAACCCCCCCCCAAAAAAGAAGAGTCCTCATGAAAAAGCCCAGAGAACCCATTGTGAGAACACCTACGTATCAACAAGTCTGGGTTGCGGAGGTCCCACGCAAAGGAAAGTGTAAGAAAACCCTAAGTGCTGTTCACACCAGATAGATAACTACATCTACCGAATTCCATAGTCGAAGCTCAACAAATCCTCTTCGAAGAGCTGGCATAACCAAAGCCTTAGCAGCCCTTGCTCCATTAAGAGGGCATGCCTCTATATGGTGCCGGTAAAATGCATACCTTCAAATCAACATCGTCTTTGGGGGCTCAGGAATGGGATGCGGATAGCACCTTCCAACCGCATTATAGTCAGCGAAATTGGTACAGATCCGCTATGCTCAATCAGGTTGATGATCGCTGCTTCGCAGGTACAACTAGGAAGGGTGCATGCCCCACATATTCAACTTGTCTGGGAAGATCACGCTATCCTTGAACCTCCAGATACTGTAGTTCCTCGCCTTCAAAGCCTCCTCTATTCAGCATTTTGAAGACTAATCGGTTTAGTGTTTAGGGTCAACTATATCCACGTTTTCAACCACATTTGATCGCATATCAGGAGGGGTCCGTGAGGTATAGGGCAACCTCCCATTAGAACTTATGAGCACGAAGTCCTGAACCCTAAACCCTCAATTGTAGT